CCATGTTGCCGCCCGCAGTGGCGCGCGCGGGCGAAGGCAGGGGCGGCTGCTGGGGCGGGAGGCGGACACCCGGGAGGAGTGGCCGCGGCGGCGGCGGCGGCGGCGGGCGAGGGGACGGGCGCGCAGGCGGCGGGCGGGCGAGGCCGCGAGAGGAGCTCCGTCGCGCTCGCAGCGCCGCGCACCAGCAGCATGGCCGTGGCGGTGGGCAGACCCGCGGTGAGTGCGCACGGCCTTCCCCGGTTTCCCCCGCGGCGCGGCGCGGCGCGGCGGGCGCGCGTGCCTGCAGCCCGGCCCGGGCGAGGGATAACGGTGCCGGGGATGCGCGGGCTGCCCGGGGGCTTTCCGAGGCTGCGAGCAGCGCGGCGGCGGCGGCGGCGGCGGCGGCGGCAGCTTGTTGCTTCCCCGGGAGGGCACAGCCCGCGAGGGAGCCCCGAGCCGCCGCTGCGGGCAGGCGCGGTGCGGGGATCCAGCCGCGCTTCTCCCGCCGCGCCCGCGCTGCCTCCATTCATTGCAAAGGGAGAGCTCGCCAGGCGCGCGGAATGGACGCTGCCCTGCCGCGGGGCTGGTCGCGGAGGGGTGTTCGGACGTTACGTGCCGGAGGGGGGGGGACCGCGCCGCCGCTTCCCCGGGGCTGCTTTTCTCCCGCGCCGCTTCCCCGGGGCAAAAACAAAGGAGCGGCAAACCCGGGAAGGGCGTCGAGGCAGCGAGGGATGGCTCGGAGCGGGAAGCCAAACATGGGGTCTGGCGGAAGGGGCCAGGCAGAGAAGGGGCCAGTGCCCCCAGCTGCTCCGGGCGAGGTGTGATTCGTGGTGGGCAGCAGATGCACCTCCATGGCTGGGACGCGTGTTTGTGCGATGGGGGAAGCCTCTGGATCAGGACCTGATGAAAGGCTGCCCCTTCCCCCCTCCCCCGGTTGGGTTAATAGGCTAAGCAGTTACGTAACACGGTTACAAATTAACTGCCTCCCCCTCCCCTGCTCAGCCCCACCACCCACGGCCGCGGAGCTCGCTGCCCGTGCAGGAAAGGGGCTGCTTTGCTTGGACAGAGACTAACCCAGGAGGGCAGATGCCTTCATGAACCGGTGGTCCTCCGAGTGGCACAAGACTTTTGTTATTTTTATGATACAGAAGGACTGTAAACAGAAGCCTGGGAGTGTTTTGTACCAGAGCCCAACCTTAAGCCCCCTTGAGTGGAACATGGGACCTTCGCTCCCTGTCCTTCCCTCTTCTGACCCTTTAGAAGTGGCACAGGAGAGAGAACTTGGCCTTAAACAGCAAGGAAAGCAGCAATCCAGCTATAAAGCGGGAAGTCTGGGCTCCCATCTTACCTTGGGCAAGCTGCTCACTTTCAGCCATGCTTCCCCCATCTACAATACTGATCTACCTTACAGGGCTGTTGTAAGCGTGTGAACTACGCAAGCTATACTTCACCATCTTCATGCTTATTCTTAGAGTGGGACGTGGCTTTCCTAGGTAGGTCCTGACCCAGAATATGTCAGAAAAGAGCCTCATTATTCTCCCAGGTCTTTCACTGCTGGTATTTTTGCAAGGAAGTGAAAAATCACCAGGGACTTAACACAGTTGAAATTGTAAGGCAGAAATTGCTGCTAAAACAGGTGAGAAACTGGCTACCTGTGTGTGTTGTTTTTAGGGAAATCATCTTTGGACCACCTTTTTCCAGGACGTTTAGGAAAAATAGACATTGGGTCCTGGTGACCTCTTACCACATTTCACACAGAGGCGAATTATAGTAGGAGGTCTGTTTTCTAAGGACTGCATTCTTGGGAGGTTTTTCAAATGTCCTCTGATTAAGGAGCAGTAATGGCAAAGGAGTCCCAGACGGAGACCACCTTAACCTAGCTCCTCTTGCTGCCCTCCTTCCAAGTCGGGTCAGAGAATTATAATATTCTCAGGGGAACTGGGGCAGAGTTGGCTGGAAAAGCAGCCACTGGGAGAAAGACTTTGTCAAAGCCAAAGTTAAGGTTAATATAAATAATAACTCATCAGGCTTTTCTCTCGCTCTGGATCCCTAAAGGATCAAGGCAGGAAAAATGATGCTGGTGACTCTGTTTGTTTGGTTCTTAATGGCTTCTTGAGAGCAGTTTCCCACACACCAAAACATCAAACTGCCATGCATTTCCACTGTATCATCTGCTTTGCTAAAGGCAGGAAGGCAACAAAAGTTCAGAATTCCAAGATCTGGATGAGTGGCTGCATTCCAACAAATGTGATGAGTTAAGGTTGGAAAAGAAACTCTTAATACAAATGGAGGCTAAAAGATTAAGGGGCATAGATTTTCAAGGTGTCTCCCTTGAGTATTTTAGCCATTACAAAAGGGTGCCCTGGAGAAATGCTGAAATGAAATTGGATATCTGAAGGAGGCTTTGCTTTTTGAAGGGTTTTGGAACCTTTTGAATAAATCAGTATTATTTGTGAGAGTGTACAGTTGATTTTGTGGACTCGTCGGACAGCTTTCCATAAAGCAATCTACCAAAAGAGAGGGACAGGGATTCTTTTTATTTTGTCTATCACATAGATAGATTTTGGTGAAAGTAAATGTCGACCGTATGAAGGAACTCATATATATCACCAGAAGGCGGAAGGGGGAGGGGTGGGAAGAGGGACTTGATTGACTTTTTCCTGTTCGTTTTTTAAAAAGTGCACGCCAGTAAAACAGATGTTGCACATGAGCAAAATGACTTCAGTGTGGCTACTTTCAGAATGTGAAAAATTAGTGTCTGTGCTCAAGATGTGCTCTGGATCCCTCATCTAGTTTCCATTACCATCTTACAATGCAATGTGTTGCTCTAATGGACTAATGCATGCTATTGTTGTTTGGCAATGCAGCGTCCCCCAAAAATGTGTTGAGGATGTGAAAACAGAAGGGGAACCGTTTCATTGATAAGTTAGGTGAAGAAAAATGCTTCTCTGTTCCTTTAAGGTTGTACTCCATTAGGTGAACAAATATACTCCTACGGAGTACTTTCTACTTCGATTTGGTGCCACTGATTGTGAGTTAGGATCTTGACTCTTGCTTCTGAAGCTGAACTTTGAAAGATTCTATTGAAGGACTAGCAGCGTGTGACCTGAAATAAAAGCAGTAGGTTCACAGGACCACTTGGAGGTGCTGTGAAAAGGTGAACCAAAGACAGATGTGTCAAGAATTATTCTCTTATGAGAAGGAATAATCTCCAGGCAGTTTGTCAAAAAAAGCTTTTGTTAGGTGGAAAAGCTGATAGCCCTCTTTGGGAAAAAATGCTCCCCCCTGTTAGCACAAAAGTTCTACTTTTGATGAAAAATTTCATGAGGTCTGGGAACCATTTTCACCCCTGGGCCACCTGTACCTTCCATAAACAAGGAAGGGGATGATGGTGAGAATGCTATTTAATTAAAAAACAAAACAATCTTTGGGGTCCCACTGAATTTTGAGCAGGGTGGGAGCCTTGTGCTGCCTCTCGGTGCTCTCAGTAGATTAAAGATGGCTGTAACTGCACTTCCAGGATCCTGCTGTGCATTTTTGAACTTGAGCACTGAAAGGATGAAAATGGAAGCAAAGAAGCAGCTTTCCACCATGGGCTACTTGCTGTAGAAGCCATTGCATGGATTCTAAAGCATGTCTTGGGTTGGGATGATGTCTGAGTTTCACTTAAGGCAATCAGGGCCATTTGAAAAGACTAGCTTCTTTGTAATATCAAGGAAGGGTGCTGGGCAACTGTAGACAGAAGGACCTCAGCTCTTAGGACTGTGAAGATCTCTCGCTGCCTGAACCCCAAATAGCCACTGCCCTAAAAGAATCAGTGGTCTGGCCTGGAAGGACGGTTGTTCCATAGCTTTGTTCAGGTATGAAATATTTCCTTGACAAAGGGCAAGGTAACACTCGGTGTTTGGGGACTGTGGCCATCTTGCTGCAATACACATTCTGTGCACATCCTAAGCAAGGGTATATGCAATGCTCTCGGAGCAGCCAAGAGTTCTTCTGAACATGTAAAGGATACTCTCAGCCGTTGGCTTGCCTGCACAGTTGCCACTTCCCTAGAATTTCTCTCTAGCATGTTGAAGGCACAATCCTGTGCCCGCTGAGAGAGAAAAACACAGTAGCAAGCACAGGATTGCTCTGTAATATCCTTATTTAAGCCCACCCCCGTTTTCCCACAGTGTTAACCAGCTCCTTCCTTTCTGACCCCCTGATCAACATACTTTCCGGAGCATCACTTAGTGGATGTGACGTGTGGATCCTTCTCCATGTCAGCATGACAGCTGGTGGCCTGAGCAAATTGTGGACTTGAAGCCATTGTCTGTTTTCCTGCCTTTTATCTCACTTTTTCTTACTGTACCTTTGCAGGAGTCTTTGGCTATTGTATGGTTAGTCCGTTGAGCAGGTGAACTGGGTTAATCGTTAATCTACTGCTAGCTGCAGGAGAGCAGAGATTTCTCTTTTGACTTGCATGGAGCTTGTGAGCAGAGGGGGCCTGAGCCAGTTCCAAGAGGAATCAGAACCGCCAGCTCAGTGTGGTTCCATGAACCCGATAACATTCTTGAGTCACCAAACTTATCAGTTGAAATGGCTCTGGCGAAATGACAGGGCCTTCATTAGGAAAGCTGCCGAATAAAGTAATGACTGTAAACGTTATTGAGTAAAAACTCAGTTCACTGAATAACATTTGGTCTTGTTACTTTTATGAGAAACATTATACTTAAAGTATAACACCTTCCACATTAGTAACAGAACAGTAACCATTTAGTTCCAGTCTGCGCCAGGCATCGGACTGTGGATTCCAGAAGACAAAAGTTTCATTATTTTTATCAAAGCTTTTAGCCTTTTTTTTTTTTTTTACCAGGGATCCATCATTAACTCCAGCTTGCAGCGGGAGACGCATTTAATGTTTTTGCCATACCATTATTCTTCCTCCTCCTCTCAATCTGTTCTCTCTCAGCAAACAACAGAACAGAAGTGGGCCCGAGGCAAGCGGCCGCAGCGGCCGCAGACCCCAGCAGGGGGGCAAGGGCAAGCCCCCCTCCTCACAGGGCATCCTCCTTGCTCACCCACCTCCTGACCCGGGAGGTAGCAGGAAGGGAGGAAGAGCAACAGCCGATGCCATGGCCTTCTTGCTGCCTGGTTCTCTGCCAGCCCAGCAAACACGTATTAGCCATTCTGGGATGCAGGAGAAGGAGCCATCTGCAGCTGGTGGAAATACAGTGGAAGGTGTCCTCCTGGAA